CAGTGAGTGTTCAGAGGGGCTGTGGTACCGTGGGGCTGTGGAGGGCTGTGTCAGAAGTGTGTGTCCTATAACGGTGTGGCTGGAGCTGGAGCTCCTCTGCATATGTCATATGTGTATATTCTGTTCATTATCACAAAATAAGGTGCCTCCTTTCCACCACCTTGCTTTCATCCTATCCCTCTCTTTCTCCAAAAACTTCAGTGGCTTCTCCTGACCACCAAAAGCAAACAAAAAAACCATACCCAAATGTCTTAGGCTGGCATTTAAGGCTAAAGATTCCCCAGACATGCCTTGTATCTTCTGGTTTCAGTGCATTGCTTCATTCTATGTTCTCTGCTTTCTCAACATGAGCTTCACCAATTGAAGTCTTTTTCTAGAACCAGTTCAGATGCTGCCTCTTCCAGGAAGCCTTCTCTGATTTCCCTGACTAAATGCACTCTCTCTCCTCTGAATGCTACCTCTTGTGGTAGCCTTACAGTCTATCTTGTATTTTAACTATTGAGGGGGATGCTGTCAGTCTTCCCACTTTGGTCTCTGAAAGCTTATACATGTGTCTTTTTTTTTTTTAAATTTTGAGATAGGATCTTGCTATGTTGCATAGGCTGGTCCCGAGCTCATGAGCTCAAGCCATCTTCCCGCCTCACCTCCTGAGTACCTGAAACTATAGGTGTGTGCCATTACTCCTAGCTGTCATCCATTTTTGTATCCTCAACAACTACCCTAGTGCCTTTATGTAAGAGGTATTTAATTCCAAATAAAATGTGTTAAACAATATGTTTGTGTTGGGATTTTGGAGGTGAAGGAGCTATTAGGAGCTTATAGTTTATTAGTGAGAGAAAAGGATGCACAGTTATAAGAATCAATTTAATGTGAAATCCAAGGAATTGAGCTGTGAATATGTGAGGCTCAGAGGGCCGGGGAGAGGACATTCAGGTGGAAGGCTGGAGATAGGACAGGGCAGGACACACTGGGGGGATGTGATGACTAGCTTTGAGACTGATATGCAGGAAGCACAAAGGACAATAGGAGATAAGGTTAGAGGGAGGGAACATAGGTCCTGGATCACAGAGGGCCTGATGTACCTGTCCAAGGACTTTGAATTTTATTCTGGAGACGACAAGGAACCATTGAATGGTTTTGAGGAAGGCTGTCACAAATAATAAAAGAATGACGCAGCACTGTGTTTTGGCCATTCTCTGGCCAGGCCCATTAAAAAAAAAATCTTACAGTGGTGTACCAGCCATTCTTTGAGGCCTGTCTGTCTCTGTGTTGACAGGGATTTTTGTCAACATTTGTAGGATTTTCCCTTTTAAAAGGGCCACATCCAAAGAATGCTTGGTCAGGTTGAAAAGTCAGTTCTACCCTCTGAAACAGTGTTTTCTGACCCATTCCACACTCTGCTTTGGCTTGAGTACAGAAGTTCTACTGCATGGGTTATATTAGTCAGGGTTCTCCAGAGAAATGGAACCAATAGCAGGTTTTTGATGTATCTCTTTGATGTACAAAGAGATGTATTTGTCAGGAATCGGCTCACAGAATTATGGAGGCTGAGAAGCCCTCATGATCTGTCATCTACAAACTGGAAAGCCAGTGGTGTAAATTCTCGTCCGAATCTGAAAACCTGAGAGCCAGGAGCACTGATGTCATAAGTCCCAGTTTAAGGGCAGAGGATTGCCAGTGTCACAGCTGAGGCAGGAAGGCAGAGACACCCATAGACACGCACTGCTACTGTGCCTGAGACTGGCTTGAGCCTCCTGGGTAATTTCTTGCCCTATGCAGGAGATTGGGGTGTGATAACATCCTGGAGAGAGAAAATCATAAGCTTTGGTGTCAGTCAGTCCTGGGTTAAATTCCCAGCTAAAATCACATTATAGCTGGACAACCTTGGCAAACCCAGTAATCTCTCTGAGCCTTGGTTTGCTTATCTGGAAAATGGTACTAATTATCCCTACCCCAAAGAATTAAAGAGTATGAGTAATTCCTAAACTGCTGCCTGACATGTTAGCAGGTCCTCAGCAAATGGCATTTGTTTTATTTATATGTGTGGAGTCAAATAGTGGCTGTTGTGCATTGGAAAAGCGAAGCTGTGCTTGGAGTGAGCTATTGTCAGGTGTTTTTGAAAGTGGAGTTTTGGACCCAAGGCCCAAACTCTTAGGCTTCTGCATGTCAGGTCTGGTGGCTCACCTCTATACATCAAACAAAGAAACATGGTGGAGCTGGACGTCAGTGGCTCACACCTATAATCCTAGCTACTCAGGAGGCAGAGATCAGAAGGACTGAAGGCAGCTCAGGCAAATGGTTTGTGAGACCCTATCTCAAAAAACCCTTCACAAAAATAGGGCTGGTGGAGTGGCTCAAGGTGAAGGCCATGAGTTCAAGCCCCAATACCACAAAATAACAAAATAAAGTAAAGAGATATGGTGGAGAGCAGAGAAAGGAGATTTGTTACATGGCCCACGACACACTGTGGGGAGAGGCAAAGTAAGCACTCAGCCCATCTTTAACTGTCTTTGCTTTAAATAGATAAAGAATTAGGGCAGGTGACAAAAGGTATGCATAACTAAGCAGTCCCAGTCACTAGTATGCCCTGGTTGGTCATTATCTCAGTCCTTGGTCTTCAAGGGTTCTGGAGAAAGTTGTTATCACTATCATTACCTGAGGGGAATAATCTGGTCCAGACTGCAGCCTCATTATTATAGATAATTGTCCTCCTTTGGAGGGGTGGTCTGTCCTGAAGGGTTCTGCTGTTCCTTAGGAGTTTCAGTCCCTTGTCATAAAGAGGTCATCGATCATTCTTATTCTTCCTTGATTTCAAGGTGGCTGCAGAAGAGAATGACTCAGAGTAAAGGACAACAGGTACAAAATGGAGGCAGGGATGCCAAGCTTTTCTCCTGTGTTTAGTTAATTCATGGGTCCATGTAAAGAGTCAACTTTTCAAAAAAAAAGCAGTTTATGCACCTCATACACCTTGATTCAAGAATGAAGACTTGGTCTAGTGCGTTTTCACAGGTCATATCAGAGCTGCCCAGTCTCCAGGTGAAAATTCTCACCTCTCAGCCTGATTCCACTCTTGGCCTTCTGCCTGCACATTCTCAGCAGCTGTGGGTGTATCTGATAGGCAGGAAAAGCTTCCATGCCTTCTCTGGGCCCTGCATTTCTGGAGCTGGTGTTAATTTTCCCTTTGAAACCAAGAAACCCACAACTATGGATCTTTCTCAGGGTTGAACCCATGCTTAAAGTACAGGGAGAAAGTAGTCCCATCCATGTCCTAGAAGGGCTCACTGTATGATAGGAGAACAGAGTCCATGCCCTCTATTGCAAGTCTGTTTAAGGAATGTACAGACCAGTGTGAGGAGCAGAGAGGAGGGAGGTACCCACCTAGTGGGTATATGGATGGGTGGGTGTAAAGGAAAAAGCAAAGTTTTTCTCCTCTTACACTTACTCAGAACACTTCTGTGACCAGATGTGTGCATTTTTCCATACCAAGCAATTCTCCAGAGAACATCAGATGGATGTTCTATAATTCAGTTGTGACACTATCTACCTAGAGATAGCATCAGATTCCACAGGTTAAGGGCTCAGTCCCACAAGACTTACCCCCTACACACACTTCACACCTAATCACAATTAGTATGGTGTGATCTGTGCTTCTGACCATCTACTATAAACTGGGGTGTCCTTAACCCTCCACTTCTGGTTTGATCACTTGCTTGGATGGCAAAATAAATAACATTAAATTTTTTACGTATTTATTTATTGTGTGGTGGTGGGGATAGAACCCAGGGCCTTGTGCATACAGCCCAGTGCTCTACCACTATCATTGTAAAAGACAGGATACAGATGAACAGCCAAGTGAACAAACACATGGGGTATGGGAGAGAGAGCAAAGACCTTCCACGCCCTCTCTGGATGCTACAGTACCCTCTGAGCACTTACAATATTCAGCAACAGGAAGCACATGAAATGTTCAAGAGTTTTTCTAGAGCTCAATCTCTACCCTCTACTTCCTTTCCTGGAGGTTGGTGAGTGGAACTGAAAGTTACAACCCTCTATTTGCTTGGTCTTTCCTATCACTAAGGAAATTCCAAGGGTTTACCAAACATATTACATATTATACCTTAGTGGGAGAATACCATAGCTGAAAGGAGAAGCTAAAAGAACTAGCAATGAGTAAAGGTGCATAGGTGTAGGTAGGTAATTTGCTTGTATGTGTGGCAGTACTGGGGTTTGAACTCGACCTCATACTTGCTACGCAGACTACCACTTGAGCCACTTCACCAGCCCTTTTTTTGTGCTGACCTAAACCACAATCCTCCTGATCTCTGCCTCCCAAGTACTAGGATTGCAGCTGCTAGTCAGGCTGAAAATATGTTTAAAAGCCAAAAAGCTGAACTCAGAAGTAGAGGATAGAATGGCAGTTAGGGGCTAGGGAGGAGGTGATGGAGAGATGTTAAAACAAAATGCTGCCCTTATAGCTCTTGAGTGTGGCTAGAACACCATATGCCTGTGAGGTACAGTGGTAGGGAGTGCAGTCATGGATGGCATGACCTCACCTGAGAGGCCATGGCTCCTCTATGAGTTTGGGACTTGGAAGCTAAGCAGCAGGGGGAAAGGAGCATCAGAATGACTGACCATAAGACTGGACAGTCTGATGCTGTGCTAGGTATTTTCTTTTTCTCATTCAACAAAATAGTTATCGAATGCCTATTACGTGCCAGAAGCTGTTCCCTGCACTGGGAAATAGCAATGAAGAAACAGGCTAGGGGTTTCCTGTGAGTAACCTCCACATTTTACGAAAGGGGACACTGAAGGCCTGCCGGATTTGGGCTCACGGCTCTGGCCCAGGCCTCTGCGGCTGGAGGGCAGCATAGCTTTGGGCATTCCCTTAGATGTCCGGGCGCACGTGGGCCTGCCTGCTGCGCTGCCATCCGGCTGCGCGCGCCTCTCCACTCCCCAGCCCAGCCCACACGTGGGTTCCCGCACGTCCGCCTGGCTCTTGTCCTGACGTCAGCCTCGCAGTTCCATTTAAGGCCCCTCCCGCGTCCACTTCTGAGTGCTGGAGCGGTTGCCGCCGAGTCCGGATCCTAATCTGCTGCGTGTGCCCGACGCCCGCCCATCGTGCATTCCCGGTATGGTCAGGCTCCGCGTGCACTGTGGCCGAAGGGGAGGGAGAGCAAACTGCTTGTGGCTCCGCTGGCCGGGCGCTGCCCGCAAAGGGGTCCCTGCTTCCGGGGGTTGTAGGCGCCGTTTCACAGATGCAGAGTTTGCAGACCTGGGCGGTGGCCCACCACGCGTGGGATCGGAGCCCTCTGCGCTCGACTCTTGCTCTAAGTGGCGTTCGTGGCCTCTGGCCGTGCTAGGGGACTGAGCTGGCGGCCCCACCCAACCTGGGGTAGAAAGCCTGGGTGGATGCGGAAGGACTAGATGAGCAGGTCTGAAGGGAGGGGGACATCTCAGGGCTCCAAATCCTCGAACCGCGCAAAACTTGAGGTACGGTTACCGGAGCCCATGGGGCTGAAAAAGCCTCACTCAGCAGATAACGGGGCGGGTTCTTGGAAGCCGGAAAGCCGCCAAGCCGCGCGGTTTGCATTTTTTTCCCTGGGACCCTGGAGAGGTTGGCTTCACGTGAACGGCTGCTGCCTGCAAAATTATAGGACGCTTTTTGTATAAGTGACGTTTATTAAGAAGTTCCTGGGCTTTCCAAAGGTGAAGCAAGCACAGTAGGATCGTCCCTTACGTGCTGTCTTTTGGAGAAATATGGAAGCCTAAAGCTAAGAGAGGGTTAGGGTCTCTCAGGTCACACGGAGTGGGTGGGCAGAGGTAGGTGCTTTCACCACAAGACGCACCCTCACCCCTACATTGAAGGGGATCCCGGGGCTGAGGTTTGGTGAAGCCGGTTCTCTGTAGCGAGAACCCTTCCCTTCCTCCAGACAGCCTGCAGAAACCTTACAAGACTGTCTAGAAATAGCAGTGATTTGTAAGGAGAGACTCAATTCCAGGTTGGTGACTGGGCTGCTTGCCTGGAGGTCCTCTCGGATATTTTTACTCTTTGGAACCATGTCAAAACTAGACACTTTGCTTTGGGGGTGCAACCAGTGATATTCCTTCCAGTGAGTGCAGTGCAGAGTCGGATGAGCAGAGTTGGAGGCCCGTCCCCTCCTCCTTCCCCCACCCCTCAAAAATTCGAGAGTTCCACCCAATATCTGTTAACTTTCGGCTTCAGGCCCTCTGCATCCTTTTTCTGCACTTCCTGTTACGACAAAATTTCCTCATGTTGGGCCTCATGCCTATGCAACAAGAAGTACTGCAGAAGCCACACCAGGCCTGCATTGTGATTGAAGTCTGGAGACCCGCCAGGCCGGCTTCACGATGCTCGCATGTGCTTCGGGGCACTAGTAAAGTCTAAAGTCTGGCCCACAGAGCCCGATCGCTACTGGTTGTCTCTAATCTAGAGCGGACGGAACATCGTCCAGTCTGGCGGAGTGCCTCTTAAAGACCAGAGGCCACTAGACTGCTCTGTTCAACCCCTACCCCGCTAGGCGGAGCATAAAACTGGCTCCTGGAAGCTGTGGGTTAGAATGCGCATGCGTAGACCTCAGAGCACGTTGTTTCACATTGGGATCTTGTGGCCGTTAGTGGCGCTTTCTGTGCTTAGTTTTAGTCCTTATGTGAGGGGCTTGGCACTGTACTTGCTGTAGGGTCCTGAGTGACCGTAGGAGAGTGGTACACAGTGATCTTGTCTAAGGAGAAGCTAGACTCTTTTGGGGTTAGCAGCCAAGATGAGTGAGCCCTCAGGAAGCTATACTTACACTGAAACATCAGTATTATTTTTCCATGCCAAGGTGAGGTCTTACATACCACGATTCTAGCCAGACCAGACCCTGGCATTATTCCTCTAAACGAGTTTGGACACCTTTTGGGTTTTTTTCTTCCACTCTGTTATCGTGACTTTTAGTGGCAAGTGTTCAAAAGAAAGTAAAATAAGCCTTTTATTCATTTTAAACATTTTATTAGCATATACTAGTTGTATAGGTGGGTTTCTTTGATTATATTGACCTCCCTTCATCATTCCTCATCTCCCCTTCCTCCTTCTTACAAATTTGAACAGGTTTCATTGTTCTATTTTCATGCAAGTGTACAAAATACATGAACATATTCACCCTCTTTCACCTCAGTTCCCCTCCCACCCCCTCTAGTACTGATTCCTGGTCAGGACCTGTTTCACATTCTTGACTTTCGTTTTTTTAGTGTATATTAATTGTTCAAAGGGGTTTTACTGTGTAATTTCATACATGCATATATTGTACTTTAATCAGATTAATCCCCTTTATTATTATATTTCTCTATCCCACCTGTCTCCCTAATACTCAACAGCTTTCAGTGTGGTTTGTTATGCTATTTTCATACACAGATGCAACGTATATTTACACTTTTATTCTCTTTCTCCCCTGCCTCCCCTTGGTCTCCTCAAACCCTCAAACAGTTATACTATTACAAACGTGTTTTTATATACATATATATGTATGTATATTTGTTAAAATAAGCTTTTAAAAAGAATAACTCTTGGTAAATGAACATTAAAGAGGATGCAGTGACACTGAATGTTTTTGCTCCTATAGAGTCCTTTTGGTTCCAAGTCCAGGATGGCAAGCCTCAAGGATCAGCTGATTGTGAATCTTCTTAAGGAGGAGCAGGTCCCCCAGAATAAGATTACAGTTGTTGGGGTTGGTGCTGTTGGCATGGCCTGTGCCATCAGTATCTTAATGAAGGTAAGTGAGAGCTCCCACTCTGGAAGCCCATACATTAGCCCCACCTTTCCCCCTCCCCAAAAACTGCCTTATCACACTGTATATAAAAATATTTAGGTTCATGCATTCATTCAGAAAACTTTATGTGAAACAACATTTTGAAGTATGGTATTACACCAAAAAGGTTATGTGAAATAAAAAGTATCAAAAGTTATCAGAGTAGACAGTTCCTAAAATTTGCTGTACTATATTAGTTCTACCAATGAGAAGAGTCTATGCCTTTAAATGAGCCAAAACTCTTTTAAAAGTAATTTTTAATTGAAAATAACATGTACATGTGATACAATTTAAATCATGTAAAGAATTTTAAGCCTTATTCCCATCCAAACTCTATTTTTTTCCTCTGCCCCTGCATAACAATCTATCAATTATGTAGCTAAACTTTATTTTTTTTTTTGTAGCTAAACTTTAATTAGAAAAAGAGAACTTGTGAATATAAAACTTTTTACAGTATTCAAATCTGGTTTACATATTTATATATAATATATAGTATATTTATAGTATACATATATAGTATATATATACTACTATATATATACTATATATGTAGTTTATATATATATGTAAACTAAGGCAGATTTATTACTCATTTATTTGTAGACAAGGTCTCAGTATGTACTGCAATCTGGTCTCAAACTCATGATCCTTTTGCCTTAGCCTCCTGAGTACTGGGATTACAGGTGTGTACCACCATGTCCAGCTAAGGCAGCTTTCCATATTAAAATATTTTAAGTTTAGATTTAAAATTCCTAACAATAGCAAAATATCAAATTCTGTGTTCTGAACAGAAATGAATTAAAGTGAGAAGGAACTGATGGCAGAAGTGAGTACTGTAGAAATCTAATAACAACACAGCTTGTTCTTTATGTATTATACTTCTTTCTTATCCACTGGATCAGAAATCTGATGCTGTCTTCCCACATGTATGAACCACCATGGTCTTTTTGTCTCTGGTCTCTGACTCAGGTGTGGGTAAGAAGAATATCTAATAGGCTGGGTGCCAGTGTCTCATGCCTGTAATCCTAGCTACTCAGGAGGCAGAGATCAGGAGGATCTTGACTTCGAAGCCAGCTGGGGCACATAGTTCAAGAGATCTTATCTTGAAAAAACCCATCACAAAAAAGGGCTGATGAAGTGGCTAAAGGTGTAGACCCTGAGTTCAAGCCCCATACTGCCAAAAGAAAGAAAAAGTAGAGCACTGACCAGATCATTCATTTTACTATAGTTGGTTTTGGGGGTAAATCTGCAGATAAGATAACCTTTGTGGTAATTACTGACCATATTTCATTTGTATTAAAGCTATTGTTGGTGCTCCTGCTCCAACTTAAAGGTTCTATTGGAAGGATATTCTTCACCCATATTAGGCAATGCACAAGTCTTAGCTATACAAAACTGTTAGTATTGGTTTGTTTGTGGAAAATAACAAGAGAATGATCCAGACTATTGCTTTTTAATTCCAAAGTTTTGATACTGTTTGACAGCACCTATTTAATGAATACCAACCTAAAACTGACGTGTAAAACTGAGTTTGACAAAGTAAATAAAGCAGTTTTGCACACTTGGAAGTTATTTTGACTATTGCCAATCAGTATTCTGTTTTCACACCAGCAGTGGGAGTGGAAGAACTCCTGTAGAAGTTGTTCCAGTGGGAACATAGGGCTGGAAAGAGGATCAGTGCTATGTAGGGGGCCATCTGTGAATCTGCTTTTTAAATGGTGGCCTATCTCTAGTTTGAAGTGTATCCTGATACTAATACTGATACCAAAGTAGCAGATCTCTTGCATAGGTTTCTAAAAAATCTAGAAATAGCAATTTCTCATTTAACTAAAATTTTTTATGTCTTTTAGGACTTGGCAGATGAACTTGCTCTTGTTGATGTCATAGAAGACAAACTGAAGGGAGAGATGATGGATCTCCAACATGGCAGTCTTTTCCTTAGAACACCAAAGATTGTCTCTGGCAAAGGTTGATTTCAACAAGTTTTTATTATAGTCCATGCTAGATCTAAATTCTTTATCAAATTGAAATCCTAGCTCTTCACAGATTTTCTTTTTCATACAGAATAGGAGTGCCTTGGAATAATTTTGCCTTGGTACCTATGAATATCAAAGTTTCAATTTCTAGTAAATGGTTTTAAAGGGGCATCCAATTTGTCTGTGATGTGGAAACCTTCTGAAATAGAATGCAATGAGGAAAGCTCCAAAACTTAGGTCCATATTTGACCACATTGTTTCAAATACTTTTTTGTGTGTGGCTGGTAATGGGTTCCAACCCAGGTCCTGCATGAGCTAATAAGCAAGTGCTCTTCTGCTGAGCTATATTACCAGCCTTGATTTTTTTTTTAATTTTTATTTTATTCATATGTGCATACAATGTTTGGGTCATTTCTCCCCCCTTCCCCCCACCCCCTCCCTTACTCCCACACCCCCTCCCTCTCCCCTCCACCCCCTCGCTACCAGGCAGAAACTGTTTTGCCCTTATCTCTAATTTTGTTGAAGAGAGTATAAGCAATAATAGGAAGGAACAAGGGTTTTTGCTAGTTGAGATAAGGATAGCTTTACTGGGAGTTTACTTGCATTGCTTTCCTGTGCATGTGTGTTACCTTCTAAGTTAATTCTTCTTGAACTAACCTTTTCTCTAGTTCCTGGTCCCCTTCTCCTATTGGCCTCAGTTGCTTTAAAGTATCTGCTTTTGTTTCTCTGCATTGAGGGCAACAAATGCTATCTAGTTTTTTAGGTGTCTTACCTATCTTCATACCTCCCTTGTGTGCTCTCGCTTTATCATGTGATCAAAGTCTAATCCCTTTGTTGTGTTTGCCCTTGATCTAATGTGTGCATATGAGGGAGAACATAGGATTTTTGGTCTTTTGGGCCAGGCTAACCTCACTAAGAATGATGTTCTCCAATTCCATCCATTTATCTGTGAATGATAACATTTCATTCTTCTTCATGGCTGCATAAAATTCCATTGTGTATAGATACCACATGTTCTTAATCCATTCGTCAGTGGTGGGGCATCTTGGCTATTTCCATAACTTGGCTATTGTGAACAGTACCAGCCTTGCTTTAAATCTTTAAATGTTCTTACCTCTCTATTCCCCTTCCTTTCATACACTAACACATGTTTGAGAAAAGGGTAACTAAGCCTGTTTCACAGATTTTCTTGGCTTTGCCTTTTCACAGTTAAGTAGCACCAAGTGGAACTGAAAGTCTTTGGCTTCTTACATGATAGGCAGCTTCCTGGGTCAAGTGTCCTGTGCCACAGGGTATCAAGAAGAGAGAGAGAGGAAAGAATTGCTTGTCTCTTGGTAACAACTAAGTAGCTAAGTAAAAATAGGAGTAGGAAATGTATGACCTTTGAGCTTAGGTAGAAAAAAATTGGAGCATCTATAAGAATTTTATATGAGAATTAAACAAATTTGATTCCTTCCAATCCTCCCAATTACAATTAAATAAAGTTAAAGTGTGACTAAAAACAACATTATAAGGAAGGCATTGACATACTCCCTCCACGTAAGGGGATACAATTATAAAACTCCAAAAACCAAAGGAAAGGTCTAGGAGGCATAGTCATTTATCTGCCACATACACAAAATCTGTATGTGACTGTCCACAAAAGACATTTATCGAACAAATTTTTGCTGGCTCGATAAAAGTTCTCTTAAAGGCCTTAACCTAATTATCGTTTCCTTTTTCTCTAGACTACAGTGTGACTGCAAACTCCAAGCTGGTTATTATCACAGCAGGGGCACGTCAGCAAGAGGGAGAAAGTCGTCTTAATTTGGTCCAGCGTAATGTGAACATCTTTAAGTTCATCATTCCTAATGTTGTGAAGTACAGCCCAAACTGCAAATTGCTTATTGTTTCCAATCCAGGTGAGTTTTCACTACAAGAAAACAGTCAAGCCACAGTAAAACTGATAGTATATGTTATAGTCTGTATATACATGTACACTGATTAATTTCTTATGTTTCATTTCCCTCCTGAGAGTAGATTTGTGTTTTAAAAAAATATTTAACTTAAAAATTAAAGGAACATAATAGTTCTGAACATAGTTGGAATTTAAAAATAGTTACTTACCCAAGATCTTGGGTAAGAAGTAAGTTTATGAATAATCATATTCTCTTAATTGGTGGGCAATTTATTTTCACAAAATAATACTTCTTGAATAGTTGATGGACTTGAGATAACTAGTACAGAAATTTAAAAATATTAACAAAAATACTGACTAGTCATGAATCATATCAAAATCCATACAAAAACATATCTTGAGAGCCAGTTGTATATTGAGTCACTTAGTATCTTTGCCTAATTATTTTCTACATAGTGGATATCTTGACCTATGTGGCTTGGAAGATAAGTGGCTTTCCCAAAAACCGTGTTATTGGAAGTGGATGTAATCTGGATTCAGCCCGGTTCCGTTACCTGATGGGGGAAAGGCTGGGAGTTCACCCATTAAGCTGTCATGGATGGGTCCTTGGGGAGCATGGAGACTCTAGTGGTAAGCATAACTTATTTTTGCTTTTTGTTGCCAAAGGAGTTTGTAAAAATTTTCCAGCTATTTCATTATCAAATTAGAGCCTAGTTCAATTATCCACTAAGTTGGATAGAATGGTTTCCTGGAATCTACCATTTGTATAATTATAAACTAAGGATTGTTCAGATTTTAGTCATTTTATGGCAAGGAAGATAGGAAATTAATTACATTTCAAGGAAAGTAAGTAAATAACTATGGACATGTTACTTATTTTGGTGCTGGGTGGTGAACCCCCAGGCCTTGTGTATGCTAAGCACACACAATACCATGGTGTTGTATCCCCAGCCCCAGGATATGTTAAAACCTCAGTTCTATCAGAGTTGTTTATACTTGACTTGATCTGCTACACCCTGAAAAAGTCATGCAGCCTAAATGGAGTGCATGAAAACATTCTGTTATTGTCACACTGAAAGATATTACATTTTGTATAGAGTTCTCAGAGTTCCCTATGCCAAGAAAATTCTCAATGTTCATAATCCCTGATGTCTTTATATGTTAGATGTAAATGGACTAAACATTTCCACAGATAAGAAAAACAAGTTAGAATGCATAATTCCTAACTAAATGAAAATCTAAAATCTAACACTAAGGACATTAGCAGTCTTGACCCTCTACTAAAAGTGGGTAACCTTCCTCTGCAGGTAAGAGAATTAAAATTATCACAATTACTATTGGTGCATGGAAATAAATATATTATGTACTATTTCTTTTAGTGCCTGTATGGAGTGGAGTGAATGTTGCTGGTGTCTCCCTGAAGAATCTGCACCCAGATTTAGGCACTGATGCAGATAAGGAACAGTGGAAAGCGGTTCATAAACAGGTGGTTGACAGGTAATAGATTTCACAATTTAACAACATGGAAGATTAAAATTATTTTTATCTAAAAGATTAAGATTTTAATAGCATTTGCAATTGAGTACTTTTTGTTAGAGAGAAAACTTTTTTTTAAAGCTTTGTTTAAAATCCTAATATAAATGAACCAAGCCTTGTATGCACATATGAATAATAAAAGAAAAATGAAGAAAAAAAAAGGAATAAACATAACAAAAAAATAAATAAATAAAATCCTAATATAAAAACCAAAAGAAAAGATTGGCTAAAAAAACAATACACCAACCAGCAATGTTGTAATTAAGAGGCAAACCCATAGGGAGAGGCATATAAGAGATCAACCTAACTGAGGTATTCCAGCTGATATTATACAATAATGATGAGTAGTGTACATGCCTCAAAGACCCAGGATTTAGTTCTAGCTGTGTTGGGTAAGCAAACATCTTGCAAAACTGGAAGAGTAATCCAAATCTTGTTTATCTCCTGGGGAAATGCTATAAAGCTCACATGAAACCATGTGCAGAAATGCATCTTATCAACTAAAAAAATGTTATAAAATGATAGTTACAAAGCTAACAGTGAAGACTGGGGAAACAAAACAATAGCACCAAAAGTTGACATAATGTGGAGATACTGGATCACTTATACACTGTTGGTAGGAATCCAATATGGTACCCTAGGTTGGCAGTTCCTTTAAAACTAAAAATGGATTTATCAGAAACTGCAGATAATGGATTTCAGAGAAATAAAGCACATAAATTAGTAAAAATATGAAAAGTTAATGCTAAAGTATCTTTTTTTTAATGCCATAATTCTTTAAAGTCTGATAAATCAACACTTTTCAGCATTTTGGCAAAGATAAAGTAGTCTGATAAATCTTCCTTTGCCTATATTATAAACTATTAACATAATCAAGTTGGGTTAAGTCTACCCTACTGAAGGATAGTGTTTACCTCAACAACATATGTGATTCATCTGCTTGAGACTTAAGATCTTTTATTTATTTTATCTTATTTATTTTGGTAGTACTTGGGGTTGAACTCTGGGCCTCCTGCTTGCTAGACAGGTGCTCTACCATTTGACCCATGCACCCTAGATCTTTTTGTTTTGGATTATTATTTTTTTTCGGGGGGGGGAGGTGGGACTGGGGTTTGAACCCAGGGCTTTGCTCTTGCTAAGCAGACACTTGACTGCTTGAGCCATACCACCAACCCTACTTTGATTATTTTTGAGATAGACCTGCCTGAACTGTGATCCTCCTATTTATGCTTCCCAGGCAGCTGGAATGCCAGGAGCATACTACCATTCCCCATTTTTTTTCTGTTGAACTTTTTTCATGAACTGTTTTGCCTGGATTGGCTTCAAACTGAGGTCCTCACGATCTCTGCCTCCCACCTGTGCCCAGCATGAAGTAAGATCTTTTAAATCAAAGTTTATATTAACATCACACATGCTAAGCAGGCAATCTTACCACTTGACCTGCACCACTGACCCTTAAGTGTGTACTTTTGTTTTTGAGACAGGGTCTTGCTAACTTTGCCCAGACTGGCTCAAACTCACAATCCTCCTGCCTCTGACTTTGGAATAGCTGGGATTTGTAGGCATGAACCACCTAGCCCACCTCCCCTATTACACTCTTTATGAACAGAAACACAGCTAGCTTGTTTATTCAGATAATAAAAGTTATAAGCAAGGTCTAGGTTCACAGTGGTACTGAAAAAATAATCACTATTAGAAATAGTTGAAATAGGGAAGGCTTCAACTTTCAACTTGGTGGCATTATTTTATAAACTTGTCATATGTGGACATCAGGTCTATAAAACTGAAAAATAACTCATAATCCTTGGTTCATGATATTTTCATGATTGGTCTCGTTATGTAGTCCAGGCTGGCCTCAACTTATGATCCTCCTGCCTTAGTCTCCTGAGTACTGGGATTACATGCATGAACCACTCTGCCCAGCTCTGGGTTTATTTTTCATTTTATTTTATGGTAAAAATAAATTAACTGAGGCCTACTACACCTTGAGCCACTCCACCAGCCCTTTTTTCGTGATTTTTTTTCAAGATAGGGTCTCATAAACTATTTGCTAGGGGCTGGCTTCAAACCTAGATCCTTCTGATCTCTGCCTCCTGAGTAGCTAGGATTACAGGTGTGAGTCACTGGTACCTGGCTCTGGGTTTACTTTTTAAAATTCAGTGTTGTGCTTTTTTTTTTTCTGTGCTGCTACCACTCTTATTGTATTTCTAAGAATCACCAATTTTGTTGTAGGTAGCTACACTTAATTGTTTTGAGTTATGTAATATTCCTTACATGAATACAAAACAATTCATCCCTTCTGTTGAAGATCACTGGACTCACTATCTTATTTTGCTATTACTAATAGTATTGTTGTGAATATTTCTCTTTTGTAATGTCTTGGTGTTCATGTGCAAGGGTTACTGCTACATATATAATGCAACATGAATTCAGGGAAAGCTTGGTTTTTCTGTATTTTCCCTCCATGCTTTTTTCTGTCCTTGCTCACCCTTTCCTATCCTTACCTATTCTACAGTGCTTATGAGGTGATCAAACTGAAAGGCTATACATCCTGGGCCATTGGACTGTCTGTGGCAGATTTGGCAGAAAGTATAATGAAGAACCTTAGGAGGGTGCATCCAATTTCCACCATGATTAAGGTAGGTTTGTGTAGTGATAATATGTATTCCAATGCTTTTTTCCCTGGTTTTTTAAAGAAAAGATTCTTCTGAGAAAGTCGTTAGATTAATGGAAGTCCACAATCACTGATTGAAATGAAATAGATTAAATGCACTCACAACTTTCTCTGTTAGAAATAAATGATTGACCCATAGGATTCATCTCCACTAGGACTATTTAGCATATAGTTACGTGATTATTTTATTCAGAAACTCTCATTGAGTTATGTTGAGGTAGGTGGAAGACTGTAACACAGATTTTTTATTGGGAAAAACAGAAATCACAGTTATCACACTGTTATACAATAAAAACTGGAACGTACTATGTATAATGGTAATAATTAAGGGTTTCTTTTAGAATGGACATCTTACTGCCAATTTAATGACTTCCTTTGACCTTGTTCATTGCATCATATCCTATTATCAGGAAACGATTTTCTTCTTACCAAGTTGTACCAAATAAGCTTCATAATTATAGAGAATATAAATCTTGGGAAACCCAGAATGTACAGACAATGTAAAATGTTTTTCATTTTGTTTTCAGGGTCTCTATGGAATACAGGAAGATGTCTTCCTTAGTGTTCCTTGTATCTTGGGACAGAATGGAATCTCAGATGTTGTGAAGGTGACTCTGACTCCTGAGGAAGAGGCTCGTTTGAAGAAGAGTGCAGATACACTTTGGGGGATCCAAAAAGAGCTGCAATTTTAAAGTCTTCCAATGTACCACTTCACTGTTTAGGCTATGATGGGATTTTAGTTGGAGGTTATGCATGTTGTCCCTTACATCTGATCTGTGATTAAAGCAGTAGTATTAAGATAACCTGGGAAAAGCATCACTTTCCTAAAGTTATAAATACAATTGGTTCATAAAACCCTGTATCCTGATGCTGGATGGTACTTACCTTGTGTAGTCGTAAACTGCTTAGTGAAAAATAGTTCCACTTTCTCTGAGATACCACTGCCAGTGCTGTACAGGCTCTAGTTGTCCTTCGAACCAGATGTGTTACTGTGTGCTATAGAACTTCAGCAAATGCCTACTCCAACATTTTCTCCAACCATACATCCTGGAATCCATTGTATAAATCCATTATTGCATGTCTTGTGCATAACTGTTCTAAAGGATCTTATTTTGTGTATTATATGTATCAGTGTATATTATCGTATAATGTAAAAAGAAAATCTACATATGAACAGTACAACCATCTTAAATGTCATACGAACTAAAACACCAAATAAACCTTGAACAGTGACTACTGTGATTACTCTGTTAACTTATGAAGATTTAAAGTCATGAAGCTATTTTTTACATTAGTTTATTTGGGTATATTAAGTTCTTCTTGGATGACCCTTCAATGACTTTTTTTTTTAAGTAGGGTACTATTTACTAAAGAGCAGATTATGGTTTGATAATGAATTTATATATTAAGGGTATAACTAGATGAACTGGGTTGTTCTGATATTTCCATTATAATCAAGCTTTTAATATATTAAACTCAAGGTATATACTTGATGTTAATTCTAATCATAATCAGTACCCTAAAATTCATGTAGGTATTGTTTTATACATGAGTGTAAATACTTCAAACTGAACATAAGCAGTGGTATTTTGTCACTATATTGGACACTTTTTTTTTTTTGATAGTACTGAGGTTTGAACTCAGGGCCTCACAATTGCTAGGCAGGCACTCTACCACTTGAGACACTCCACTAACCCTTTTTTGTGTCACATACTTCTGAGATAGGATCTAACAGACTATTTGCCTGGGCTGGCATCAAGCCTCAAATCCTGATTTCTGCCTTGTGAGCAGCTAGGATTGCAGGTGTGATCCCTGCACCCAGCAATGGGACATATTTTTGAGGTTCTTTGACATTGGGAGGTAACGATGCCTAACATAGTTTTTTCTTTTTCCTAGAAAACATGTTTATCAATTTTTGTATGTATGGTAGTGGAGTTTGAACTCAGGGCCTTGCACTTGCAAAGAAAATACTCTTATCACTTGAGCCACCCCTTACTCCATATAGCCTTTTGGCTTTAGTTTACTTTTTAGAGTCTTTCACTTTTGCCTTGGGCCAGCCTTAGTCTGGCATTCCTACCTCCATGTACTGTGTAACTGGGATTACAGCTGTGCCCCACCACACCCACCTTTTTTTTTGAGATAGGGTCTGGTGATTTGTTCAGGTTGGCCTCAAATTATGATCCTCCTATCTTTACCTCCAGAGTAGCTGGGGTTACAGATGTGAACACCCCACTCAGATCCTATCTATTTTTAAATAAGTGGTGAAGCTCCTGTTCAAGGAACAATGCTTAACAATTCTAACCCAAGTAGCCCTGGTGGTGCATAACTCAGTAGTTTTCCTCTGAATTCCTTCAAAATGTTTCTGTGACTGACTTTTACCCAGATCTAAAAATGACAGAAATTTACTTTAATAACCTTATCGTCATCATTCCTGCTTCCAGGATCTTTTTCCAAAGTCTTCTTCCACAGAGCTAGTCAAGAGAAGGAAAATTAGGGGTCTTTCCACTCAAATATGAAAAGACAGGATTGGTCAAGGTGGTCTTGACAATTAACTATTATAATTGAACTTGCTATCCTATAGGCTTAACTTTAAAAAAAACAAGGCTTGTTAAGGTAATTTACATTACATACAATATAGGTGTATGTTTCTGTGAATTTTTTTCTTTTTTCCCCCTCCCTCACTTCTGTGAATTTAATGCTCCCAGAAGAAACCAGTACTAGCAATGAACAATGTAACCTATTATTCAAGTGCCACATCATGCCCATGAACTTCTGTAAACTTTGAAGTGCCTTCAGTCTTTTTTGGAAAAAAATGGTACTAACATTTATTTTTAATTTCTTATTTGATATAATAAATTAGTTGACATTACTAAATATTAAGAAATACATTTATTCAATTACTCTCTGATAAATTTAGATTTAATCTTGTAAAGCTTTGTTACTTTGGCATAGTAAGTATTCCTGGTTCACTTCAGACCGTCCTGCCCCAGGCAAGAAATAGTCCAACTCTGTAAGCAGTTCTTTTCTGTCTTAGTAACAATGGGGAGTGGATTAAACAGGCCCTAGACCTACCTTCTCATATTGACCATAATCAAGTAAAGTACTAAGCAAGCCTGGAGGCATGAACAGTTATTTTTCTTTACCTAGTAGTCTGGTCACTACCAAGATGATACCTCTTTTTGCTACCAGGGCATGAGGCAAGTGTATAGTTGGAATTTGCAGGTATTCTATGCCTTCGGTATCCCTCTCAGCCTGGTGGTGTAAGATTGCTCTAGAAGCAACTCAAATGGTGGTACCAACATGTAGGTGCCACTCTTGCCTTCTATGTAAGCCTCTAGCTTGGGGTTGGTAGAGGGTTGAGAAAAGTGCCACAGAAGAAATAGGAGAGAGAAGGGAAGTTGTGGTAGTCCACACTTTAACCAAGGAACGCTAGAGTGAATTCAACTTACCTGCAAACTGGAAATAAGTACCTCAAAGCCTGGGGGAAGAACATTCCAGAGACAGAGAACAGTAAAAAGTTCTGAGTCAAGCTGTTCAAATCCTGGTTGGAAGAGAGCTTGGTGAGTTCTTGGGATGAAGTGGGAGTAGATTAAGGCCAAATGTTGAAAGTATTCTAGGTAAAACTTGGTTATTCTAAGTATAATTACAAAGTAAGAATGGTTTTCAGTAGGATTATTGGGTGATCTCAACTACATTAAAGCCTACAATCACCACAGGCTACTGTGTATGGAAAACATATCATTTCTGTTTTGCAAAAGGCTCAATCGCAAATACTTAGCAAGGTGATTTAGGAGATTGTGACTGCTTCTGTGAGTTATACATCCTCGGTGTAAATCATGGTGCCCTTGGAAAACTAGACATGGCCTTTGCATTTCATCACTACCCTGTGTTCTCTCAGGAGAAAGTCAAGCAGCAAGTTCGGGGGGCTCAGGTCAGGGCTCCTTTTGAGACTAGCTGCCTGTCTTCAGCCTAGGGGCAGCAAACACCACACACACTGCAGACAGCACTTGGACGCCATTAGTAGCAACCCTCGTGGCCCCAGGGCTGCAAGGCCGGCGCGGGCCAATGCGCCTGCGCACGTTGGGGGCGGAGCTTGCATGCTGACGCACGCAGGACGGCTGTGCGTGCGTCCCTCTGCCCGTCGGTTTGCCGCCTCCCGCAGAGCGTAACGGTTACCCAGCTTCGCACCTCAGCTGCTGCTGGTGCAGTTTTCTGATGTCCCTGCTTTTGTTTCCATAGTGGCAGTGCGTTGTGTTTCCAGCCTCAGAGTGGCAGCAATCACAGCATTTGTGAGCGTCTGTGGGGGTGGGGGAGGGGGAGGTCAGCCTGTGGGTGCCCTGGCCCATGGCCAGACGCTGGGCCTTGCTGAACCCACACTCTCTGGCCAGGGACTCCTTTCCTTGGCTTCCCTCCACGCTGGGCCCCGCATTCTGCAAACCCAAGAGTGGTACCCAGGTGGTTGGCACAGCCCACTGAGAGAGTGGTTGGTTTAGGGCGTTTGATTCTGCTGCAGTAGCGTTCTCCCCATCAGGTCTCACAATGCCAACTGTCAAGGAGCAGCTCATTGCGAGCATAAGTGCAGAAGATAAAGGCTCCCAGTGCAAGGTCACCGTTGTTGGAGCTGGCTCTGTAGGCATGGCCTGTGCTATTTGTATCTTACTGAAGGTTAGTGAAAAACATCCATGGCTGCGGGACAAGTCCGTCGACAGCAGATATATATCTTCTCCTCTGATTTTGGTCCAAGATAAGATGCATTTAGCCTGGGATGGTGCACACCGTAGCTGTAGGCTTAGGTAGGAGGGTCACCTTCGTATATAGTCTAGGCAAAAGCATGAGACCCTGTCTGAAAAAGAACTGAATCAAAAAGGACTGGGGGCGTGGGTCAAGTGGTAAACCACTTTCTACAAGTTAGGAGGCCCTAAATTCAATTGCCCAGTAAACTCTCTCCTCCCCCCAGCCAAAAAAAGAAAGAGAAAGCCATTTATTAGGACATTGCTAGAGTGTTTAAATTTACTCATAGGAGGGAGATTTATGTAATGTTAATATTATTACATTTTCTGTGGAAATTATTCAGTACCTTGTATTCCTTGAAGAATAATGGATGAAATTCGTATTTTCTAAGGGGTTATTATTGTTTTAGATGTACATAATTATTACATGCTCATTGTTAAAAAAAGTACCAAATTTGATTAAATAGCAATAGAAGTCCTTTCCTTTTTCTTTCTCCTTTCTGTTTTCAGAACATCTTTTTTATGTGCTTATTGACCATTTGTACATAATCTTTAGAAAATACTAAATTCTTTTGTTAATTAAATAAGGTTATTTTTGTTGTTGAATTGTGGCATTGTTTGTATATCTTCGACATTAACCATGTGTCATATATATGATTTGCAAATATTTTCATCCATGCCTTATGTTTTATTTTCAGTCTGATGACTTGTCTTTTTGATACACTGATGTTTTACAATTTAATGTCTAATTTATTTTTGCTTTTTTGCCTGTGCTTTTATTATATCCAAAAACATGATTGCCACACTTGGAGGTATGGCAAAGTGGTAGAATGCCTGCATTCTAGCAAGCACAAGGTCCTGAGTTCAAACTGCAGTACCACCAAAAAGAAAAAAAAAAAACCGATTGACAAATTCAATATTGGGGAACTTTTCTCCAGTGTTTTTCTAGGACTTTTATAGTTTTGGGTCTTACATTTAGGTCTTTGGTCCGTTGATTGATCTGTTGATTGGTGGGACTGGAGTTCAAACTCAGGGCTTTTTGTTTGCAAAGCAAGAGCTCCATTGCTTGAGCTACACCTCCAGTCCATTTTTCTCTGGTTGCTTTGGAGATAGGCTCTGGAAAACTATTTGCCTGGTTGGGCCTTGAACTGAGATCTTCTCATCTCCATCTTCCTAGTAGTTAGTGTGGGGAGGCTACTGGCACCAGGCTTTGGTTCATTTTGAATTAACTTTGTATATGAGTAAAGCAAGAGTCTATAATCATCCTTTTGCATGTAAATAGCCAGTTCCCCCAATACCCTTTGTTGAAAGATTATCGTTTCACATTATATGATTTCAGTACCCTTGTTGAAATTTTCTGGACTTCTTATTCTATTCCAGAAGTCTTTGTGTGTCTTTATGCTAGTTCTACGCTGTTTTGAGTACTGTATCTTTGTAAAATGTTTTGAAATCATGCAATATAATACCTCTAACAGTGTTCCTAATCAAGATTGTTTTGGCTAT